GTCCTCTAACCTTCGTAGAGTTTGTCGTCAAAATATGTGTCGAGTAAATGGCGTGGTACATTTTCTCCTGCAAACGTGACTGGCCGCACAGTAGGCGGTGTTGACGGTCCTTCGCCCACATCAGGCTCGTCGTGAAGCCCCTCCTCTGCAGCTTGCGGCCGCGCAGCTTGACGTGAAACTGCTGCATCACTTCCCGCTTCTTCTTCCTGCTCCTTTTTTCTCATCTGAGCCGTGGTAGAACCGCGGATACGTTCACCTGTTCCAGCTGACGCTGCACTAGTAAAAAGTCAATTTTGATTATTCTTAGTGGTTGAAAGAATGAGCTTTGAGGAGAATGCACAGAAAACTACGTACCACCTCTTGAACGGTATCCATCAAGCTCCGTCTCCGCTCTGCACTTTGCTCACAGCTACTGCTCACAGCCTCGGCTCTGGCATGTATACCACGAGCTCGTAATGCCGCATCAATCTATGAGACCGTGTACATGTTATATAGCAAATGTTCCATGGCTAGTCCCACTTACCTGCTCTCGCACTAGCATTTCAACCTCATCGCGACGATCCCCTTCATATCGGTTTATGCGGCGATTCATGTGACCCTAAAACGGCAACAGATAACTTTCATAGTCTTTGCGTACTGTGACGGAAACGCATACGCTATTTGCACATACGAAACGCCTGAATACTCACGACATCAGTTGGGATTCCGCAATTAATGATTTGCCGCTCGAAGTCACGATAAACTTTCCATTCACCTGCCGTTACAGGCTTGTGAATTTGCGACAGATGGATTTTTTGCTGTGCCCATGAATTGCGTTATTCCACGTCCAAGCTGCTCAACTATGAAATAGAAGAGAATGAAGGGCATGTCTCATATCGTTCAGCCCTCATGGCAATGACAACCAGAAACAAACTTACCTTGAACTCCAACGAGTACCTCCGAATACGATCGTTGAGCGCTCTGCTGAGATGTTCGTAGAGCCGATACTCTCCTTGTTTCCCGCTAACGCAGAAATTTGCTCCTTCACCC